GTGCAAGAACGAGTTAAAACCCTGCAAAAAAAAAAAAAAAAAAAAAAAAAGAGAGAGAGACAAAAGGAAACTTGTGAGCTCCTGTGCCAGGTCTTGGTGGCTGCAGGAACCTGGAAGCACAGTCCGGCTCTCCATCGCTTTTAGCAGCTTGAAAGTGAGCTCGGGAATACATTTGTTTGCAGAGATGTGATGAAGATGGCGTGAGTAAAGGTTTTTATTTGTGGTTCGCAGAGGAAACAGAACATGGTACCAGGAATGAGAAGGTTTTTACTCCTTTGATGTTTTGAGGAATCTCACCGTCCAGCAGGAAGCTTTTTCGATGGTGGTTTACAGAACGCAGGAAACCGTAAAGCCAACAGCGGTGTCACCCTCCACCCCCCAGGAAAATGACCTCAGCCGTGTGACTTTATGCTGCACCTAGGGTAGAAATTGGGGGATTTGAGTCAGTAGGATGAAATTATCTGAGTGCGAATCTGAGTGGGAATTGGGTGTAATCTCCGATTCTCTGTTAAATGGAGCTGTGGTGGAGAGGGTCCCGTAGCTGCTCGACAGTAGGGAGAATTCGATCTGCTTTATGCACCCAGAAATCTGTGTCAACTGATTTTTAACAGGGGTTTTCAAATCAATAAAAATCAATTGAACTTCCAAAGTCACATTTGGAAAAGAACTTCTAAAATCCGGAACCTGTGTACAAAATTTCAAAAGTCCTTGATTAATGAGAAAAACCCTATAGTTGTGCTCAGATGATCTAAAATTTCAGCCAAGCGTTTGCTAGCTCAAATTAGAGCCATAGAACTGCCTTTCCAACCAGGGAAACAGGGGTAACGGGGCCTCTGTTTCTCTGAAAAAGTTTTTGAGAACAAAATGTGGTATTATGGTCAACAAGACTTAAAATGAGAGTGTACATTGGGTTTTCTTGTTTTGTTACTGGGGATTGAACTCAGGACCTTGTGCTTAGGAGGTGAGCGGTGAAACCACTGAGCTAAATCCCTCGCCCCGGGTTTATCTTCAGTTAAAATGCCAGTGTCTACACTTACCCCTACTGATAAACACCACTTGTGATTTAAAGTGACATTGTTCCTTTGTTTGCTGGCAGATTTGCTGATCATTAAGATTTATAATACCGACTACCATTAAATGCTATTTGAGTGGTTTAGACATTGAATTAAAG